TTCATAATATACATTCTGCTTCTGGCTTACCTTCTTGGCACATTACATCAGTATATTAATTGTAAAGTTTATTGTATAGTATTTAACCACTGATTTTATTTTATGTTGTGCTTATGTGAACCCTTTGGTGAAGATCTCTTTTCCTTGGATAATGTGTAGTTATATCTCTTTTTAAATGTACAGATATTTTGCTATAAAATTGGTGCAGTTTTTTATGGTTTTTACACTTCTCTTTAATTCCCACCTAAGATTCTGGGTAATATTGTAAATATTGTTTAAAAATGCATCAGCCTATGCTATACAATCTGAATGTTATTTTAACTTATAGTTCTTTTTTTTAATATATATTTAACTACAAAGACAATTTAGGCATCAGTTACCACATTTCACTTTAGTGTACCTATTTACAGATTAAACTGCCACCTGCTGGAGCATTTCCACATGTACTTTAAAAAGAACATGCCAAGATTTTGTCTTTGGGTTAAGTCAACTTTAATTTTGATGAAAATAGCAAATTGACCATGACATAAGACCAATAGTTGGACCTACCACAATGCAGCTATTTCCCAAAGGTCAAAGCTGACATGCATATTAAAAAATAATTCTTTGTTAATGTACAAATAGACAATAATGTTGGCATGTTCTTTTCTGTGTCTATTAATGGGCCTGCTTCTTAGCAATATTAGAAATGTTTTATAAAAGCAATTCATGTTACTTTTCTGGTCTTTCCATGCCACACAAGCAAATAAAACTATTTACTACTATTCTGTAAAAATATGTCGTAGTCTTTTAGTAAATTTTAGGGGGAGGGTAGCAGTTTTACCTCTAGAAACAGGCATATTCTTGCTATTTGAACTCAGAATCCAAAGATGACTGGCAATTAAGAAAACTTCTTCTCAAACTCCTGGCTTGAGATTCTCTTCTCACAGACTCATTGGTAGCTGAGACTGTAGGCATGCATTGAGATGCCTGGCTTGCTTTATGAACTCTTGGACCACCTGCTGTGTAGAATGTAGGAATAAAACAGCTTTTGGTATTGAGAGATGTATCTCTAAAATCTGTATTCATAAGTTTAGAGAGAACATTCTCCTTTGGTGAAGACACCACCCTCCAAATTTAATCAGGGTATTGTACAAATAAATACAAATAGGTTATGTGTAGACTATATATAGAGGTAAGCACCTGCCAACCATAATAGGCCCAATGCACATGCATACTGGTATTTGTAACAAGTCATCAGAAAATTGTAATGCTTATATATTTTATGGAAGAAAGAAATATTTTAGAAGATATTCCAAGTGGCTTAAAATAATTAATTAGTTGCTTAAGGAATTGCTGTTACAATCAATAATTCTCTCACTGCCATTTGTACTTTTAGATTTACTACACTTGGCTATTTATAGATTATATGCAATAATCTTATTTCATCCCCTCAGCAAGCCTGAGAAGTATTAACACTGTCATACACAAAGGAAACCAACTAAGAAAAATTGCTTTGCCCAGGGTCATAAATCTAGTAGGTAGAAGAGCCTGTACAAGCATTGGTTCCCAATTCAGTGAACTTCACCCTAACCAGTTATACAATGTAGGTGAGATTCTTATAAAAGGGAGGAAAATCTGAATCCTGAAATAAGAATCTCTACTTTGCTTTTTACCAGGGCAAATGTCTAATGGTAAAACATTTTAGAGAGACACTGGATTTGATCCTTAGCACATTAAAAAAAAATGATATTGTTCATCTACAACTAAAACAATTTTTTTTAAAATTTGAAGTATTTATTTAATATCCCACAAATTCAGAAAGTTTTAAAAAATAAGACAGATTTTGTTTTGAGGGTGTAGGGGTTGAGTACTGGAGATTGAAACCAGGACCTTGCGCATGTGAGCAAGTACTCTACCACTGAGCTATACCTTCACCAAAGTGTTTAGAAATGTTTATCCATGACTCAGAACGATGTACCATTGTGCTCCCTATTTCCCATACTCCACCATAAACTTCACTGCAATGTCCAGTGACCCTCCTGACACAATTTGCCAGGCACAGAATGGATCATCACTGACTCTGTTTTGGGGTGTTCGACGTATTGGGATTATCTCTGTATAATATCTAATTTTACACTGGAAAATGTAATATTTTTAATAGCTTTATAATATATTCACATGCCTAGTAACTTTACTATTTGATAAAACAAAACTCTTCTGGTAGCCCTAATATTACTGTTTTCTAGTATTTATTATCAGAAATGTCTACAAAGATGAATTTATTGGTACAGTACATACAGAAGAATTGTTTTCCATTTCTATAAACAAACATCCACCTATTCCCAAGAAAAAATTGGACACAAGAAATGCATGAAGGTCTTTTTTTTTTTTTTTTTTAAAGGGGTACTTTAAACATTACACTGAGAAAACAGGATGTGGGCATTTAACAACTCAAGAGAACTGCTTGCTGCCTAAAGGATGCTAAAAGAAAAATGTTGACAGGAATCCAACTCATTTAGTAAAATATGCCATTTTTCTAGTAAATTCTATTTACAAAAGGTGAGATATATATATATATAACTGTACAGATGTGAAAACCTGGCAGTTACAAATAGGAAACAAACCTTGCTCCTTCTATTACTCACCTTTCAGAGTAAGTCCTCACTTCAGTTATAGAGGTAGGCAAGAAAACTAATACCTACCGAAAATATTTGTAGGCAGGACCGGAAAAAAATGCTTATAAATAATACACTAAGATAACCTAAAGAATAGCATTCAATAGCATCAAGAAATGGCTTAGCTTGAATCCGATGTGATTTAGCCAGTCATTCACTGTTTCAGTCTAGACTGGGGTGGGAGTAGAGATTAGCTAGTACCTCTGGAATGTAAACAACTTTATACCTAGTGTAATTACCATCAAATTAATGGTCAATTACCAGTCACTAACAATGCATGAAATAGCCTTGAACTAGATCCCATTGAGAATTATAAGCCTTTCTAATTTCTAACTCTATGAAGCAAGCTTAAGAAGAGAATTTACTATCATTAAGGAACCTGAGTTTTCATCAGGTAGACTAAAATAAAGGAAGGGCTAAGAACAGTGTGGGGTAGTTGAAGCAAAACCATCTGTCACTTCCTACCACCCCTTTAAGTTAGCTCCAATAAATGGGAATGGCTGCCATGTTACCATGACTCACCTCTATTCAAAAATAGCCCGAAAGGATTAGTTTTTCTTAGAATCAGGATTGATTCTAAGATTTTTCTGAGAAACTTTTGGACACTTACGGGATAAGTTAAGGTATAATCACTAGATCTTATTTTAGATGTACTTCAATGTGGCTTAAACTGTGGGTTAGTGATGTCTTTTAAAGCCCTTCAATAAGCATGATGGGTACCATGGTTGCAAATGAATACATTTATAAACTAATATTTTACATTCAATTCATTAAGTGCTTATTATGTGCCAGGCACTGTCCTACTTCACAGGGATATATACAGCGCAATGAACGATAAAGACAAATCCCTGCCGAGGAATGAATTACATGACTACCACTTTTAGAAAACTTAAAAAGTATAAAATAAGCTAAGAATTACTAGACTGGTATATAACATTGTCAAAAGCACAGAATGAGAATATAAGTCTCTTAGAACACAGTTCTATGAAAATAAATCACCTTATTTTGCTTTTATGTAAAATGAGTGGCTTATTTTTTTTTTTTTTTGGTAGGAGGGACAAAACCCTTACTAATGAACCACTAAGATGCATCCCCAGACTGTTTTTATTTTGAGAGAGGGTCTGCCTAAATTGCTGAGGCTGGCCTTGAATTTATGATCCTCAGGTTAGGAGACCACCACCATGTCCAGGGGGTACAGTTTAAAGCAGTAAGGATAGCTAAATTAAAATCTATCTGGGGCTGGGGATGTGGCTCAAGCGGTAGCACAATCGCCTGGCATGCGTGCGGCCCGGGTTCGATCCTCAGCACCACATACAAATAAAGATGTTGTGTCCGCTGAAAACTAAAAAAAAATATATATATTAAAAATTCTTTCTGTCTCTCTCATTCTCTCTTTAAAAAAAAAAAAATCTATTTGGAATTGACAGAGATCTCCAAAAGGAAAAATGAAATACAGAGAGTTAAGGAATTAAAGTACTTTGTTTCATATTTTCAGATCTAAAATACTTAGCTTTCAAAAATGTTTAGTTTTTCAATTTATAAATTACATATTGTTTGAAACTATGAACTTTCCAGAAAAAGAGCACAGCAACAGTTTGCTTATCCTACCACTTGGAATTACCTTAATTTAGAAAAACCTTTTTCTATTTGTATTTGTGTAAAGTCAGGTCCAATTAAGCAAAAGTCAAAAGGAGAAATAGCTGTGATTAATCATTATTCAAATTTACTTGGCAGCATAAAAACTACTTTGATGTTAAAAAATAAGATAGGACCATGGTTTTTAAGAGTACATTATTTAAATTCACTTAGAGAGCAAATAATTCTTAATACCTGATTGGTTAAATTATCTAACTTCTCATACAAATTCAATTTTCCCAACATGTTAATATTATGGACTGGGAGAAAATAAGAACAATTTTTGAGATCCTGATTTTAGCTACATTAATTATATTAATGAACATTATCCAGTAATTCATTTAATAGTGATGTTAAGGGGAAAAATAAACCCTCAACATTGTCTGGGCCTTATGTTTGAACACACTAACAGAACCAATATACCAAGATATTTCAGCTAATCTATGAAGTTAAAAATACCCTGGTTTCTGTTTTAATAAAATCTCCCATCACCTATTCCTTTAGACAATAAGCAATCTCTGGCAGCTAGATCAGTCACTTCATTCACTTCTTTTATAGGAAAGATGTTGCGTTTGAGTTACCACGTGTTAACTTATTAGAGCAAATAATTTGCATGGGTGAACTACAATTGAATTTATATCTTGGAGGAACTGGAAGATGTAGTAAGATTACAAAAAAAAAAAACAAATCTATTCTGAGGACATGCTAAAACATCAATAACTTTTTATTTTAAATAGAAAAATCAAAACTTTTTTGAAAACTGTACTTGAAAAACCATCAATCATGGAATAATTAAAGCAATGTTTTAACAGATTCTAAATTCTCTTGTGAAACATTACTAGTATATCTCCCAGTATTATATGCATGTTTTAAAGATTTGGCCATTGACTTCCATGTCAGGTGTTTAACATGATTAGCAATCTATCATTAAAATGGGAACTCTGAAAATTAATTGCCAGAGTTGTTAGGTGTTTTGACTAATACAACCAGAAGAGACTAATCTTAAGCAAGTGATTCAACTTCACATTTTCTCAAAGATGATGATTCTCACTTTGTATCTACAAAGTCATGTCATATTTCATAGCAGAAAAATGATGTGGCAGAAAGGATTTTAGAAAAAAAAATTCACCCCCTTTTATTGAGCCTTTACACAGTGGAAACTAGATTTAATTAAAACATAGAGCAGCATGGGAAAGAGCTGTCTTGGTCATTTTCACTTTCAAGCTCATTAAGATAATGAGGAAAGACTTTTCTTGTAAATGTCAACCTGAAATAGGATATCTTGGTGTCCAAATTAAAAGAACAAAGATAATACCTACAATAATACCAAAGCCTGTGCTAAAATTTTCTTTCTTAAAAAAATCTCCTGCACTGAAGGAAAATAGTATAAATTACATCACCAACCTTCAAAAGTTAGCATGTAAAGGGTATTCTATCTTCAAACCATTGCCTAAAATATTCCATAGGAAATTTATCGGTAAAAAGCAAATCAAGGGACCTCAAATGCACTGATTTATAATATTCTTAAATATTAAAAAGGGAAAGTAAACTAGCTATTTATGGGTAAGATGAAGCAAATTTCTAGCATCTTTAAAATGATTATACAATTTCTTTAGAGCTGAGCAGTTTAAGTAGAAATAAATACTAGTACGCACTAGAAGAGAAGGTTTAATAATTGATAAAAATGTACAAAAATATTCAAATCAGAAATGCTTTAGAATGTGTACCACGAAGTCAATACTTCTCAGTGAGTAGGGAAGGTAAAAGCCCTCCTCAATGGAAAAAAAAAAAAGGAGAGAGAAAGAAAACAAAAAAGAAAAAAAAATTGGATAAAAAAAAAAAATCAAGACAGCTGTTAAAGAAAATGTTTTAAAGTCAACATTGATTTTTTTTTTCTTTTTTGACAAGTATATTGCAACTATCACTTAAAGATTGGTGGCACATTCTTTAGTAGGTCCTTAAGGCAATATATTTAATCTAATTTACAATTTGATTCGATGTTAACTTTTTTAAACATCACCTCAAAATAGATGCTCAAAATAATGCCCTCACAATAGCCTTTTTAAAATGTCAGATGTTTCATAAAAAATAACGGTGGCTTTATTACAGCAGTGCTTATTGCACCACTAGAGTTAATGGTCTACCAAGTTTCCATCAAAAACACCCATTTCTTACAAGCTCACCATAATAGATCACATTGGCTGTAACCAGTTGGGTAGTGCACAAAAAAGCAGATTTATTGGTTGCTGGTGCTTTTTTTTGTACTACGATATTATCAAAAAAATTGTCATATATCTTCAAAATCCAACTTCTAAAAGTAAATCAAATCACCTCATGACTTAAGACTTTAGAACAAAGTAGAGACATTTGCAGTTATCAGTAAATTGCCACCTTTAATCCATCCTGCAGTGCCCTATGAAAGGGTCACAGAAAGACAGTTATGACTGTAGGAAAATATGATTCTTGATACAGAATCAGAAGTTATTTTCAATTTCTTTTGCTTATATAAAGTCCACAATAACAATACTTAAATGCACTTTTTTTTTTTCTGTGATACAATTAAAACCCAGTGTTATTTAAACTGAACTTAAAATAGAGTCCCTGGTCTGAATTAGACTTTAAATCATACTGTAAACATATATTTGGTATAATTTATTGATCATCATCCAGTTGCTCCAAAAGGGTTCTTCTGCGCTTTTCTAATTCACCTTCACTCAGTTCACTGCCAGAAGTATCCCAATTACCCTGAAAAGACAATGAACATAATTACAGATGTTAGTAGTCAGAAGATTATAAAGTAATAAACCTGTGAGAAAAGAATCAAGATTTATATGGATTCTCTTCCAAAGAAGCACACATTTTACAGGGTTAAAAGCCCATCAAATGGATCTATTAGTGGAAAAAACTTGAATTTTGAAACCAGAACGATATACACTGGTTTTTTTCTCTTCCCTTTTACGAAACTGAATGAGGCTTCTTGTTTCTTCTTATTAGAAAGCTATGTGCTTACATACTTGGTAATATATTTGCACAGATTTCTAGGTAGCACTCTATTCAGAAAGGAAAGTATTATTATACTCTAAGATTCTATTGTTCAAACATACTACATTTACAAGCAGGGCAAGATTTAGACAAAATAAACAAAAACATGGCATTCTCTGAGAAACACAACCTTAGTAGAGTGGGTAGACTTCATCCAACCTCTTTTAAAAATTGTTTAACCCACTGTTAAGAAAAAGTACTAACAGAGGAAGGTAGGATTTCATTCTTTACTACGGTTGTCATTAAGACTCACCTGTTGCATACAGATTTAAAAACCACCACAAAAAACCCCTGCTCTATATCAACTGGATCCGAATATCAAAAGGTAGAGAGGTAGGGACCAGGGCTAATCTACATGGTTAAGGATCTCTCTCCACTGATGATTCCTAGGCGTTAATTACCCTTGCGAAAGACATTTGAATAGGAAATTGGTGAAGAAAGATTTGCATTATCATGTGCTCTGCCATTCACATTTACATTATGTATATATGAGAAACTAATTATGTAACATGATAATAAAGTCTATATTTGGCTTGTATTCTCTTTTTCTTTTGTGTTCACCCATTCCCCAATTCATATTTCTAAATGTTACTGCAATGCTACCTTTTGAAACTAGTAAAGGTGGAACGATGACAACTGTGGATATCCAAAGAATCCCTGCAGAGTCTATATTTTATATCCCTTAAACAAAAAGAAAAAAAAATCCTTAAAAATTGATCAGAAAACACCCACTGTCACTTATTAGTGAGAATGTACAAACCAGAGACCATATTCTTTCTTAGTGTAAATGTTAAAACTATAGTTACAGAATGCTGTTATTTTATAAGGGATATAAAATTTGGGACAGTCAAATCAGGTCATTCATGACAGTAAGTATTAGAAAACCTTTTGTAAGAAAAGCAGTTAACTGATATTGTTTCCCTCAATGGCAGCAAAACTGAAAGTCAATAGACTTCTTGAAACCACTTTTCTATTTTTGTAAATTTAAGAATAAAACAACCGAAATACTTACAGAATCTTTTCCAGTCTTTTTCTTAGGTGATTTGTGTTTTGATTCTGATCTTTGTCTAGTTCTATCTTTTTCACTTTCCCGATCTTTTTCTTTTTTATCCTTGTCTCGCTCAGCATCTGATTCTGGAGAGTCCTATGTAAATAAAGTTACTTGTTTGTATTTTCATAGAGATGTCATTCCATCTTTTAAAAATCCACATACAGATAATATTTAACATGCACTCATAATATTAGTGTTCCTAGAGTGGGAAAATATAATTTGAATTGTTAACCTCAAGTGTTTGATAAAATTTCCCAAAGACTTATGGAAGGAGACAGTCTTTCCCATGAGTAGGATGACATTCTGATAATGGTAAAACACCACTAAAAAGAAGCCTCCCTACTACTTTAGATAGGTTATATTACATAAATACAGGTGACATTTTTTTTCTTCTGTTGTGCTGAGCATTGAACCTAGGACTTCATATGTGCTAAGCAAGTATGTACTTTTACCACTGTGCTACATCTCCAGGTCAGATATTCTATTTTCTTACCACTCCAATGTACTATCAGTTGATTTAGATATAAAATATTGCTGTTAGCTTAGCTGTAAATGAAATTCTTTCCTTAAAATTACTGCTGTAAATGAGAGATTTCCTAAAATATAAGATTCATGCCAAGAATCTCTCAGATATGCACAAATTTATTTGAGCACCAATAAAAAATTCCAATGCAATAAGTGATATCCTGTTGAATATATACCTAAAGATGAAGAACTATAATCACTGAAAAGTGGTTGTTTAAACGTTAAAATTTGTGTTTCTCAATAACAGTTGTGATAAACACACATACCCACACTTTTGGGTCTGTCTTGAAGATTAAAGGCAAGGGTAAGAATTCTGACACTGGCATGTGTATTTGTTTGAAGTTTACCAAATGATTTTAATGTAAGGTTAACTACAAAAGTCTGTACACGCCTAAACTAGACTACAAAGGATTAGGTGGGAGAAGGTTCTAATAGCCACTGATAAACCAAAGCCTAGGTTGAATGTAAAAGCATGAATCTTGCTTACAGATTTATGTCTCCTCTTCTTGCTTTTCTTCTTATGCTTTTTTGATTTCTTATAACTTCTCTCTGAAGAGCATAAAAGGAAAAATAAAGTGTAAGAATTTGAGGCAATAAAAGGGTCAATAATTTTGATCAATAACTAGAAATCTCACCAGACTCAGCACTAGAAGAATGTTCTGAAGCAGAACGGGACTCTGAACGCTGTCGTTTTTTCTTTGAATGACTGTCATCATCATCTGAATCTGACCCCTAAATAATACAAATAATCTAATTCACAATGATGCTACTAAATATTTTAGTACATTCAGGGTGCCATCTTTAAACTTCCTTACCGATCGGGAGCGGGAACGTTTCCTATGATGTTTTTTAGATTTCTTAGAATGTTTCTTGTTCTTTGAATGATGATGTTGACATTCATGCTACCAGGGTAGAAGAAAATTTCAAGAATTTACATTTGCTTTACATAGTGGATCATAAAGTCTTTTAGAAGTCACACAAAACCTTCTTAGATTGAAATGCTACATATGTAGGATATAACCCCTGGAGATCATGCAAAGAATCATTAATCATTTTAACAGTTTCTGTTTTTTTCTTACTCATGCTATACCCACTAATTTAGACATCTAAATAAAAAATAATCTTAAAAGTATTAGTAGTGAGAATAGGTTTTTTTAACATGGGGGTGGGGTGGGGTACCAGGGATTGAACTCTGGGAAACTTGGCCACTGAGTCACATCTTCAGCCCTGATTTATATTTTACTTAGAGATAGGGTCTTCACTGAGTTGCTTAGCATCTTGCCCATGCTGAGGGTGGCTTTGAATTTGTGATTCTCCTTCTCAGTCTCCTAAACTGCTGGGATTACATGTATGCGACACTGCGTTTGGCAGTAAGAACAATTTTAACAAGAATGAAAATGTTAGCAGGAAAAATTGATAGTCTAGAAAGGTATAAAATGAAGAATAGTCCCAACTGCTTTCAATAACAATGAAATAATGAAAAATAGTGACATTTTTTTAAATTCTTTTTTAAGAATCTGGCTTTGTCTAACAAGTTATGCAAGGCACTAAGATAAAGAATAACCTCAGAGACACACTTGAAAGGGGAAGTATTGCAATAAAAGCTTCTTGATCCTAAACATGTGTATTGCTTTGGAAATGGACTGTTTCAACCACTTAAGTGGAAACAAAGAATCTGCCTCAGAAAAAAACCCTTAGCCTCTTGTCTCAATGAAAGTAACCTTTCTTTTCTACCTCAAGGCCCAAATTAAAAATCTGAATGTATTTAGACTTTCTGTATGTACTATCTTTAGCTCCATTTACCAAGTCATTAACTTATCCCCAGCCAAAATGAAAAAAATATAGTTGGAGATTCTTGAGTTGGGGAAAAACAGATAGGGCATTATCTAGATTGGAGCATTTCAAAATTCACAATATAAGCAGGGTGCAGTGGCACATGCCTGTAATCCCAGCAATTTGTGAGGCCAAGTTAGGAGGACTGCAAATTCAAAGCCTGCCTCAGCAACTTAGTGTGACCCTGTCTCAAAAAATAAAAAGGGCTGCGGATGTAGCTCAGTGGTAAAGGGACGCTGGATTAAATCCCTGGTACTGGGGCAGGGTGGGGAGTGGAAAATTCAAAGTACATTCTAATGCTTGGGAATCTGGCTAAAAATTAAGATTCACAAGTTGAATTTCTATGTGATTGGGCCTGGTGTCTGTATTTCTAAGAAATTCCTAGATAATTCAGATGCCATTGGTCTAAACTAAGGGTAGAAGAGAGCTCAAAGGCAATAGGAGCAGATACAGAGGGAGCTGTGAAACAATATGCGCTACATGAGTACATAGTAGCAGAAGAAACTGTTAACAGTGATATTAATCAATAATAATAAATCCAAAGAGGTAGTAAACAGACAAGTAATCTTTGTGCAGGATTACAATGCTAACATTACGATTATGAATTTGTATAATCTTTTGGTTTGTTGCAAAGTATCAGCTTATTAAGAGAACTTGTTGAAAACATTGACCCTGGAGCCAAAAATCTTGTGCGGGAATCCTTGTCCTGAAAGGTACTTCATATTTCACTTTGCCTTGGTTTACTGATCTGTAACTTCATAAGTTTTTTATTTGAACACTGCTTAATAGCATCAATATTATTTTTGAATCATTATCAATTGAGCATATTTACAAGTAACTACCTGAAACCTTCATCGAAGCCTGCATATTATTCGACTACAGGAACATTTTCATTATGCACTTTAATAAAACTATTTGCTCTATTTTTTTTTCCCGAGAAACTCTCTGGGTTTTCTGTACATCCAATGAAGAATATAATGCCTGAAACATCCTTAAAATAGGTTTTTTTTTAATTGCTTTATAACAAAATTTTAAGTTTTAAGTTTACTAGTCAATCAATGAATTTCTGAAAACTATTAAAAATATATACATTCTTTACACACGACTCTGGATATTCCCGTGAAAACTTGCAGTTTATTTCACTTTAAAACTTTCCACAGAAAGAAAATATTCCCTAAACTTCCTATATTTGACAAAAGCAAGTAAATGTTAAGAAATATATTTTGATCATTCAAAAATTTTAAATATTTTGTATGTTTTGTAGTATTTCATTCAGTTATGAGAATAATAAAATTACCTCAAGCACATGCATAAAATCTTTAAATATTCTTTTCCTTTCAGACTCTAGAGTAATGTCTTCAAATGCTGGCTCTTTTACAAATCTCTCCCGGATCTGAAAAAAATCAGTAATGTGATAAACATATGAATGCCAAGGAAAAGTATACCAGTATGCTTTTGAAAAAGAAATCAAATTAACAAGTAAAAACTGTGATAAGCTCATCCTCTAAAAGTGTACTTATTGTTTTCCTCAAAAGCCCAAATTATTAATATTCATAAATGTAGAGTCACAGCTGACCTAATAAATGTTTTATATACTCTACAAATTTACCTTATTATTTGGCTTTAAAAGGGAAAATAATTAAAATTTTTTTATTTTCAGTTTTTTTTTTTTTAAATAAAAACAAACAAGAAAATTTCCAAGTACACATACATCTTCCCAGACAGCATCCAACTCTATTGGAGGAGTGGCTTGTTTCAGCATGCTCTTGAATGCAGATTCTTTTCGTTTCATCTTCCGAGCCTCCTCTTTTTCTCTTTCACGTTCACGGGCTTCTGCCTTTTCTAGTAACTATTAGAAAATTATATTTAATCAGTTATAATAGTATGATTATTACTAGTGTTATCTGAAATTCACTGTTCTAATTTAGAAGTATTCTTACATCATTCCTACGGACTAATTTATCTATAACATTAATTTAAGCAGAGCAAGCTTGCCATAATCTTTCATCACATACATTATTTGTTTTACTTTGCCCTACCGTATAAAATCCTATTTACATCCTCATATCAACAGCAATTATTCAAATAAGTTTTAGCTAAATATGATAAAAACTGCACTACAAAACTAGTTATGTGTTAAAATTACTTACACTATTGAAAGCCAACTTGATATTTCCAGCATCTAATGTAGTCGACCTTTTAGTTGAACTGATTATTGCCACAAAGTCTTCAAAAGTAGTATTTACTTCAACTACAAATCCTTTGTCCTAAAACCCAGAAACCTTGTTATAAAATAACAAAAAATCACAGGAATACAGTAATAATTTGTAAAATGGACTACAGGTTAATAGTCAAGAATAAGTATGCTTATTTACCTTTAGAATGTCTTTTATTATCTTTTTTTCATCATGATAACGTGCTTTAAGATCCTCAACATAAAACTTGAAAAGATCAAGTGCAGTTGATCCTAATGAAAAAACTAAAGAAGTCAAAAGCTAGCTCTAACCAAAGAGCTGCAATTACTTTTTGTTTATAAAACAAAAATAAAATAAAGCACCCTTTACCCAACATAACCACCTTCCCTTGGGCCCATTCCAACTACTTTTGAAACTAAAAGTTTGTAAAGTAAAGAATCTCACCAGGCTGACCAAGCATATTAGTGAATCGAATATCAGAACTAATAGTTGGATACAATTCCATCCAAGATGACATAGAATGAAGCTGTCCATGTTCATGCAATTCATCTAAAAATATCTGGGGAAAAAAATCATATTTTAAAAGTTATCTTTATGTACATTAGACATACAAGTGCAATACAAAAATACACATTAAAAACTTAGCAATATTTAAAACTATTCCATTAATGCTATCTCAAACATGTTTTTAGGTACAAAAACATTTGTTATTTGATGAAAGTAAAAACTACTTTCACACACACAATTATCCTTCAGGAAAAAAGTAACTTTAATATTACATTTTCTTTCTAGGCTTTATTTTCTGGTCCCTCAAGATAAAATATCATTTCTGGTGGTTTAAAAAAAATACACACACACACACACACCTTAACTTAAAATAATTGATATTACCTATCTAAAGTAATGAAGCTAAAGAATAATTCTATGCATCTGCAGACCTTAATTTGAAGATCACTGCTCTATCTAAAAACTCTATCTTGGCTTCATACTTCTGAGACACTACACATTTCCTTGGTCCTCCCTTAAAGTTTCTCGTCAATCTTTTCTATACTTGATGTAAATTCAGAGACCAAGGTTTTTTGTTGTTTTTTTTTTTTTTGTTGTTGTTTTCTCTAATTAGTTATACATGACAGTAGAATGCATTTTGACTACATCATACATAAATGGAGTATAACTTCTCATTTGTTTGGTTGTACATGATGCAGAATTACACAGGTCATAAAACCATAAATGTACCTAAGGTACTAATGTCCAATTCATTCTACTATCATTCCTATCCTCATGCTCCCTCCCCTCACTTCATTCCCGTCTGTTTAGTCCAAAATACTATTATTCTCCCCCAACCTTATTGTGAATTAGCATCCGAGTATCAGAGAAAGCATTGGGCCTTTGGTTCTTTGGAATTGGCTTATTTCACTTAGCATCTCAGTCTCCAGCAGTTCTATCCATTTACCACCAAATGCCATAATTTCATTCTTAAGGCTGAATAATATTCCATAGTATATATATATATATATACCAGTTTCTTTATCTATTCATCTGTTGAAGGGCATCCAGGTTGTTTCCATAACTTGGCTATTGTGAGTTGAGCTGCTATGAACACTGATGTGGCTATGCCACTGTAGTATGCTGATAGTCCTTTACGTATAAACCTAAGAATGAGATAAGTGAATCAAATGGTGGTTCCATTCCAAGTTCTCTGAGGAATCTCCATATTGCTTTCCATAATGGTTGTAGTGATTTGCAGTCCCACCAGCAATGTATGAGTGTACCTTTTTCCCCATATCCTAACCAACATTTATTGTTACTTGTCTTCTTGATGATTGCCATTCTGACTGGAGTAAGATGAAATCTCATTGTAGTTTTGATTTGCATTTCTCTAATTGATAAAGATGTTGAACATTTTCTTCATATATTTGTTGACTGACTGTACTTCTACTTCTGTGAGATGTCTGTCGAGTTCCTTTGGCCATTTATTGATTAGGTTATTTGTTTTTTTCGATGTTGAGTTTTTAAAATTCTTTGTATATCCTGGAGATTAATGCTCTATGTGAGATATATGTGGTAAAGACTTTTTCCCATTCTGTAGGCTCTCTCTTCATGTTATTGTTTCCTTTGCTGTGAAGCAGCTTTTTAGTGATATTCATCCCATTTATTGATTCTCTATTTTACTTCTTGCACGTTAGGAGTCTGGTTAAGGAAGTCAGTCCCTAGTCGACATGTTGAAGATTTGGCCTACCTTTTCTTCTATCAGGATCAGGCACAGTGTTCTACTGCTTAAGTCTATTATCCACTTTGAGTTGATTTTTGTGCAGGGTGAGAGAGAGGGGTTTAGTTTAATTTCATTTGTTACATATGTATTTCTAGTTTTCCTAGTACCATTTGTTAAAGAGGCTATCTTTTTTTCAATTATGTTTTGGCTCCTTCGTCTAGTATGAGATAACTGTATTTATGTGGATTTGTCTCTGTGTCTTCTATTCTGTACCAATGCTTTATGTATTAGTTTTGGTGACAATACCATGCCATTAAAAACAAATAAACAAAAAAAAAAACTATGGCTCTGTAAGTACTGGTATTGTGATGCCTCCTGCTTTACTTTTCTTCCTAAGGACTGCTTTGGTTATTTTGGGTCTCTTATTTTTCCAAATTAATTTAATGATTGCTTTTTCTATTTTTATGAAGAATGTCACTGGGATTTTAATAAAAATTGCATTCAATCTGTATAATGCTTTTGATAGTATGGCCATTTTGACAATGTTCATTCTGGCTATCCAAGAGCATGGGAGATCTTTCAATCTTCTAAGGTCTTCTTCAATTTCTTTCTTTAGTGTTCTGTAGTTTTCACTGTAGAGGTCATTCACCTCGTTTTTTTTTTTTTTACCCCAAATGCAGATTGCAGAATCACGTCAGTTACACATCCACAATTTTACATAATGCCCTATTAGTAACTGTTGTATTCTGCTACCTTTCCTATCCCCTACTATCCCCCCTCCCCTTCCCTCACATCTTCTCTCTACCCCATCTACTGTA